TTTACTTATACTTTTACGCCAGTGCCAATAGATGGCGACAGCGGCGTCGCTCACTTTTGTTTCCAAAAGCTTAGAGTACCATCTATCGGCCCTGGTGAGGAAGCTGTAGTTCCAAAAGTCACCAAGTGCAACGGATGGCGCTAAATCCGCGTCACGTACTCTGCGAGTCGCCCAGGAAAAAGTCTGGTTTTCGGCCAATCTGACAGCCNATTGAAAACTGCTGGCGGGAACAGAAATGGGAGTTTCTCGGCGATCCTAAGGCGTATCGCCTCGCGAAAAATGCCAAAATACACGGTAAAGTGTGGAGAATACTCTTTTATTGTTTACTTTCAATAAAAATTACATCATCACCTCCAACCGCCGCTGTTTGCTCTTCTTCTCTTCTCTTGGCCGTCTCCGCCGCCACCACGATCATCACCGGGAATGTTGATGGCCACATCGAAGTAGTCGCCAATCTGGAAGCGCGCCTGCCCCAGCGTCTTCATGTCGGCGGGGTCCTTGCGGCCGCTCACTGTGCTGCCGATCTCCCGCATGCGGTAGGTGTTGGCGCGGCTGTCGGGAAAGACCAGTGCAAAGTCGAATCGTGAGCCCGGCTTGCGGCACTCCTGGTTCACCTCCTTCACCAGGGCGGTCAGCTCCTTCAGCGTGGCGTCCATCCAGGTGTAGATCTGCACCTCCTTCGAGGGCACATTGCCGCGGGCAAACTCATTCAGGTGGTGGTGCCGGCCGTGGTTGTTGATGAAGACGCGCAGCAGCAGGGGACATTTCTAAATGAGAGATGAAAAACATGTGTCATAAAATAAAAACAAAAACTTGTCTCCTACCTTTTCGCGGTCCACCGTGTCGGTGGTCTTGTTGGTGACGACGGAGGAGGCCATCTTCTTCTTCTTTGGGGGAAGTAGATGTCCTGCTGTTGATAAGAGAGAGTGAATGTTATCAGGTGCGATCCAGAAAGATGGAAGCGGTGATGATCACAAAGCGATGGACTCCACCGCCAAGTTCTTTGGCCACTCCGGGCGCCTCAATGGTGTTGGTGGTGCACTGGAAAAAAAGCAAAACAAAGTCAGCACAATGTTAGGTAAACATAAAGACAGCTCACTCACCGGGGATGGGGAAGCTCCAGGTGGCCCGGTGGGCCTTTTCAGCTGATGATGAGAAGGTGATGGAGGTGATGGTGGTGATCTTCGGGGAATCCTCAGCTGCCTCAGCACCTGTCCATGTCCTCGTCTTTAAAGTCGGCCGCTGGCAAAGGGAAAACAAAAGAAATATTAGCACAAAAAGGTAGGCAAACACACTCAGGAGTTCTCACCTGTGCCCGACGTGGTCATAGAGGACCGGTGGCCTTGATAAGATGGGCGGGCGGGCTCCACCGCCAAGTTCTTCGGCAACTCCGGCCGCTCAATGTTGATGCCGTCGCCGAGCTGGAAAAGGAAAACAAAGGTTAGGAAATGTAGGCAAACACGTAAGATAGGACTCACAGGTGGTGGGGGAGCTCCTGGTGGCCTCATCTTGACGATGGGCGGCTTCAGCGCCGAGTACTTCGCCCGCTCCGGGCGCGCCCAATGGTAGTGGTGGTGCTGGTGCGCTGGAGAAGGAAAACAAAGTCAGAAAATGCAAAAAACACATCGAAACAGCTCAAAACTCACAGGGGATGAGGATGATGGTCTTCTGGACGTCTTCTCGATGTCCTCGGTCCAGTGAGAGGGCGGTGGACGCGGTCTAGGACGCCCAATGGTGAGACAATGGCGGCGGCGGTGGGAGAGCTAGCTTGCTGCATCAAAGAGAGTGAGTGCGCAGCGCCGAGCAAAGAGCAGCGCTGCTTTTTGGCGCGCGCGATTTGCAAAAGGGGAGGAGTCAGCTCAAACGGAGTGGATCAGCACTTTGGCAAATTCTCAGTGAATCCTGGTCAAAACAAGGCGATCAAGGTGCCAAATTAAAGCTGAGAATGTAAACTAAATGATAGGAACATTCCCCAGGTCAATCGGTCTTGTTTTAGCCGCGATATCTCAATTCAAAGTTGACCTTCAAAACACAGGGAGAGGCAGAGCGCGCCGGCGGCGAGGCGGGCACAAAAGCCTCCAGCGCGGGTGAGCTAAATGTAAACAAAGTTTGGCAATGCAAATTCCTAGGTAATTCTGATCATAACTATTACAATCAAGGTACCAAATGAAAGATTAGATTCTAATTAATCGCTTAAAGTTTATTTGGGCTTGATCGGTGCAGTAACAAAGGAGATATCACGGTCCAAAGTCAAGGCTCCAAACACAGGGAGAAGCGGCAAGCTCCGCCTTGAATGAGCTCCGCCTTCAGCGCATTTGTTGCACACTTGCCAGTTCGAGGAGTTGTCCACCAAATGGGATCATCTCCATTCAAACTCCCGTTTTTAAACTCCTGCTTCACGGATTGAGCTGAAACTTGCACCAATTAAAGATTAGGATGTTCCCCGCAATAATAACCAAGTTTCATTCTGATAAACGTAAAGAATCATAGTTAAAAACATTTATAAACATTTAAATCAACTTTTTCATTAAAAAATTTTATTGTAAATTAAAAAACGCAACGGGAAATCATTTGTATAGCAGTGTACGGTGCCTGTACCAAGTTTCAGACAAATCGGTACGGTACTTCTGGAGAAACGAAAAATGGGTTTTTACAGCGATGGGTACACGGAATCGCTTAATTCTTTTTTTCAATATTATTTAAATAACTAGGGGCACATTTATATGCTAGAATAAAGTAGCTCCAACAGGTGGCGCACGTGTAAAAATTAATTTTAAAATTTTAAAATTTTTTTAAAAATAGTTTTAAAATGGTGAGTTAAATATTTTTAATGCACAATTAAGCTACTACTAATGAACAATTAATATGCCAAGTTTCAGATTAATAAAGTCAACAGATTTTTTGCAATGATTTTTCAAAGTTTTAAAACAGTTTTTTGCCGTTTTCTCAGCCATAAAACATGCTAGGCTTTCAGTTTTAATCTTGAAAAATCCCAATTTGCAGCCTTCATAAACGCTCCAAAGCTTTTGGTCCTAGCTCAAACGGTTCCCGAGATATGGCGGAAACAAAATTCCCAAGGAAGAACTTCATTTTTCCAAACTAATTTTTTTCCGGAAACTTTTCTCGAGAAAATTTCCAAAAAAACTTCTCAATCTTTCCTGACCCGATTACTCGGAACTGGTAGGTCTTGGAACAATGCAATTTGATGTAATGAAAGCTAATGACTTGTTGCACACTTTTATATAAACAAAAATTAAAATTACAAAAAATTAAATTGTTTAAATTTATTTTTAAAACTTTAGATCACTTTTTAGATAACATATTACTTAGTAACTTAGCTTTAAAATTTTAACAGTTAAAGATCTATTCTTTAAAAGTACAATGCAAAAAGAATTACAGCAATCGGTTGAGTAAAAGTATTTTTAAAATTCTTTTCAAAACAAGCAAAACTTCCTATGCATTCTCAATGAAGGATTTTACCCCAATTTTCAGCATGTGATCAAAATGCTGGTTTATAAGATATAAAATCAAAATAAAATTGCGCAAACACCAGAAGATACTCTAGTTTGTGTGTGCCAAGTTTTTTTAAAATAAGTTCAGTAAAAGTACTTCAAAAAAATCTTTTTAAAACTCAGAATTTTAGGTCTTTTAAAAATAAATTTTAACAAAGTCCAAGCACACACCCAAAGACCAACACCTACCACTTACACAAAGCACAAAAGTCAAAAGATAGATTTATAAAAGTGAATTTATTATCGAGAGTGAGTACATAAGAATGGATAAGAACCAATGGATGAGCTTTGGCTCAAAATAATACTAGATGACTATGGATTGACTGGAGGAAGGGACCGCCGGTCGGTGGAGCACACCGCCACTTCCTCTTCGCAAAATGGTCGAAAAGGAGAGCACCGAGGAGGAGCAGTCCATGTCTTCTGTGGCCCCCTCTTCGAGCAGTTGAATTGCGGTGTCCGGGCTGGTTAGCCGTCGATCAGTGCCCATCAGGTCGTCCCAGTCAATCTGACAGGTAAAGACCTCCCTCTCCAGCCACTGTTCGTAGTTGCGCTTGAATTCACGCGTCAACTGCAGTGGTCGCCCCAGCACCGACTGCAGGTTAGTGTCCACTGGGGTGAATAGGTCTGCTTCATAGAGGGCAGCTAGAACGGGACCAACACCAGGGGCCAGGTGGGCAGACGCGCCGGCATTGCCACCATCAAAGCCAAACATTGAGGCAGCAGCGGCAGCGGCTGCAGTAGAAAGTGGAGTGGAGGGTGTGCCGGGGTATGAGCCACCGCCACTGATGCCATCGTTGATTTTGAAGCTGCCCGAAGAGGCAGAGGTAGAGAGTGCCTGGGCGGTCACCGAGTTGACCATGTTCGCAGCGGGAAATGGCTTCTCGTAGCGGCGGTGGTGGAAGCGGTTGATGGCCGCTTGGAGGAGAAACTCCTCGGTCTGAAAGTACAGCTGCTTAGAGTCGACGTCGTTGGCAAAGGCCCAGTCGTCGTTCCTAGGGAAGATGTAATCAGTATTAAAGTAAATCAATAAATCTCCACTGATCACTTACAGCCGGTGCCTGACCTTCTGGTAAATGGCACTCATCGTCTTCATGTTGTTCTTCCGCCACTGTCGCCCGAGGAACTTGGCCTGCATCTTGAGCAGCTTCAGGGCGTACACCTGGAACATCGCCTGCCGCACCCGAAGACTGCGCTTCAGCGGCTGTGCACTCTTGAAGAGGACCAGCATCATGATGCGGCAGTTCTTCCACTTGGTCAGCTTGTTGAGAATGCGCAGCAAGTTGATGGAGCTAAATAGGTTCCGCCAGCAGTAGTACGGCGAAGGTTGCTGTACGGCAGTGCTGTCCACCGTGCTGGTCTCGCCGAGGATGCCGTCAATGGTCTCGGCGGAAATCTCCACCGAT